GAGTCGCCCTGGAGCCATTGAAACAATAGCAAAGCAGCAAAGCGCGGCATGAAGGAGTTGCGACCTCTGGTGCGGTGTTCTCCCTATCGCGGAAAAACACCGGAACCTGAACCCTCCATGGGCCTTCAGCGCAGAAAAGCGAGTGCAGCAGTAAACTCCTCTTGTTACTGAAGGCAGGGACAAGGCCCAAAAATTCGAGCAACCTTGCTCAGCCAGTGAAGTCGAGCCTTGTTGTCCCGGGCATAGCTGACGTACTCGTCCAAAGACAGCTCCTGGGTCAGCAAGACAGTTCCAAAAGCCAAGGCGAAAACCAAAGGATCAGTATTCGGTGCCCTTTACCCCAAACCCTAAACCCTAAACCCTAAACCCTAAACCCTAAACCCTAAACCCTACATCCAACAAAACCCATGAACCTACACACTGACCCCAGCATGGCCTAGCAGCTCCTAGCGATATCGTATATGTGTCTGTAGATCAATGCCAAGTTCCGAAAAATCCGAAACCCTTAACGGTTTAGGGTTTAGGGTTTAGGGTTTAGGGTTTCCGAAAAATCCGAAACCCTAAACCCTAAACCCTAAACCCACAAGGTCCCACCAGTGAACTCCTTGTGTTCAGGCAGTTTTCCCCTCTCCTGCTCAGTTGGGGTTTTGGGTCTTTCGGTTTAGGGTTTGCGCTTTAGGGTTTATAAGGGCTTAATCCTGAAGCCCCAAACACCTTCAGTGTAGAGCTCTGCATGAATATTTGGCAATAGTATCACGCTCCCATGAGCACCGTTGACCGCACAGGAACAGGAACTGCACGTATCCACTCGAAATCCCTGTATGAAGATACCATATACACAAACTCTATACCCAAGCACTAACTTAGTCACTAAAGGAACCCTTATAGATCCCTTAAAGGAGCCCGAAATAGATCCCTTAAAGACCCCTGCTTCAGACTGCCAATCCGCAACTCGAAATCCCAAAGAACCAGCTGGGAGGCCCCACCACCCGGAGTGGCTTGCCGAGGCCATGCAGCGAGCCCATCTCCTCGCGCGCGCAGGGATTAGGGTTTAGGGTTTAGGGGTTTTGATAATTAAAATAGGGCTTGGGGGGTATAGTATACTATCATTAGTTATAATAAGGAGCCCGCGAAACCCTCTTCTAATGATTAAGGCCCCTACATTACGGTTTAGGGTACTGCAGAACTAGCATGAAAGCAGATAGGACCGTCCTAATTATGTATGTTATTCTCCTTCCGGCAAAAGCAGGACAAGCGTCCTGTATGCTTCTGGTACTGTCTTGTTTTTGTTTACAGATGGTGGTCTTGCTGACGAATAGCACTCGCAGGCTATACCGCATGTGGCAGTCGTAGGGTGACGACTGTCAACTATCTCAGGGGAGTCCAGTAAAGGCTGGCAAAGTAGCACGAGTCCCTGACACCCTTTACCCTTTCTTGCTATCAACTTTCTGAACTTTCTGTCTTCTATCAGGGAAGAATAGGCTGCCCAGTCCATATCTTGAATGAAACAGGGTTTAGCCTGGGGTTTAGGGCGGGTCTGGGGCCTAGGGTTTAGGGCTCAGCCTACTGGGTGCACTGGAAACATGCGCTACGGTTCGACAGCACCAGCTCTACGAGGGCTCCGTCACTTGCACACGGAGGTGGCCATAGTGCTCCAGGAACAGTGCCTCCCAGCTTGCCGGCTTCGAGCTAAAGCAGAGCTCGTGAAGTAATTCCAAATGCAAACCATCTATCTAGACACTACACACATATGTATAAGAGATGATACAAGTGCATAGACTAGTGCATAGAGTTTATATACAGACTCGGATATCGACCTGTCCGAACCATATCTTTCTCTGCCACATGGGAAATTCATAAACTTGCCAGAAAAAAGTGGGGGAACTTGCAGCAGGCAGAGACGGAGGCACGAAGCGCAGGCGAGCTCCACTGCTGTAGGGATTCAAAGGGTCTTAGGGCCTAGGCAAGTATATGATACTCATGGGCGCTGCTATCCTAGAAGTGTAAAAAGGAATAAGCCCTAAACCCAAAACTTAAATCCAAAATCCTGAACCATAATAAGTTCAAAGACCAACACACCTAAACCTACGATGATTCGTTTGATGAACAAGCTGAGTCGGCAAACGGCAAGGAGGTTGGGAAGTTCGGTCCTAGATGGGCGGCGCAAGCCCCGAGTTCAGGCCTTCCTGAATGCCTTTACGTAAATTTACTAATATGACTAGTTTATATCGCCATTGTTTCTGAATTCTAGAATCACAAACACTACTGTTATAGGTTCTAAGCAAAACTCGCAGGAAGACAAGACGAACTACTCTACCAATGCTCATACCCTGACTACGAAGCATTGCTAAACCCTAAACCCTAAACTGTAAAAGCAAACTCTATCCCATAGACGAGAGAACCCTAGCTCGGAGTGGAAGCAGTTCATGTGCAGGGGTTCACAAGTCTTTGTTGTGTAGGGTTTATAGGGTTTAAAGGATTTAGGGAGGTCGTTGTTGTGCGTAGTTTAGGGCTGAGGGTTCAGGGAAGTCTCTTGTTGTGTCTAAATTAGTTGACGCTTGTGTCTTAGGTTCAGGGCTTACGGGGAAAGCCCGAACGGGCAGCCTTCCTAGCTAACACACAGACGGTAAGCCGCCATAAAGGTAGCTCCGTCAAAGAGTATGTTTTAGTGTATCATACTATATGTATATGATATAGTATGTGAAAGCATATACGGAGTATGAAGGAATATTGACCTGCATATCGGGTAAACGGCCGCATCCAGTGCCGTTGCGCAAGGCCTGGTTCGCCCAGCGCGTCTGGGCTGTCCAGCCATCGGCGGCCGGTACACCCTTCCTGGGTTTGGGGCTTAGAGTTTAGAGATTAAGCTTTGCTTTTATTTTGGAGGGTGGGGGTCAGGGATCAGGGTTTGGGTTAGGGCTTTATAGTTAGGCTTCGGGTATGGGTTGGGGGTTGTCGGGAGAGCTGTTCCGCGCTTTGTCCCGTTGGTGAACGGTCTCGTGGCGATGTGTCATTCATCTTCGGTTCTCATGTCCATAAGACTGTTCAAAGAAGGATGGGATCCAAGGTTCAAGTGCTATGTTCAGAGTTTATTTGAAAGAGGCCGCTCGCCCACAATATCTCTAAACCCTAAGATCTAAAGTGCCTACCCGTACCCTAAACCCTAAACCCTAAACCCTAAACCCTAAGATCTAAAGTGCCTACCCGTAGGGCCAAGGTCTTCCAGGCCCTTCCCCAACAAGGGGTACACTGGGGATCCGAAAGCTTCGGGGTTTTCCCATAGGCCCCATAGTAGTTCCTTTTTGGGGTTACCTTATAGGATTCTGTATATGAACCCCCAAAAGGAACTACTTTAGGGCCTATGGGTAGGATTCAATAGGGCTCCCTTCTTGGTATTGGGTACCTGAAAACCCTAAACCCCTAAACCCCTAAACCCTAAACCTATTATAGGGACTTCAACAAGGGACTGGCAACCGGACACTTGGGCATCAGGGTGAAAGGTTTAGGGTATCAGGTATCAGGGTTTAGGGTATGAGGGTTTAGGGTTTAGGGTATGAGGGTTTAGGGTTTAGGGTATGACGGTTTAGGGTTTAGGGTATAAGGGCTTAGGGTTTAGAGTATGAGGGTTTAGGTTTTAGGGTATGAGGGTTTAGGGTTTAGGGTATGAGGGTTTAGGGTTTAGGGTTATGAAGGTTTAAGGTATCGGGGTGAAAGGCAGCTACACCCACCAAAGCTCAGGCTGGAGGGTGCCAGGCGACCAGCCGAGTCTTCCTTCAACCGGGCCGGTTCGCAATGAGGTTCGGGGATATCATCCTATCATGAGAGATTGTACTATTAACATGGTATCATGAGACATTGTACTATTAAGATGGTATCATAAGATGTTGCACTGTGACTAGAATACCAGAATCATAGATGGACACTGGGCTTCCCGGCACGACGGCTGGCCGACCGGGCCCGGCGGCGAAGCGCCGCAAGAACTCCTCTGTCTTCAGGGTCCGGAGTGGTTCGGGGCTTTAGGGTTTGGGCTTAGGCTTGTCAAGGCTTTAGGGGTTAGGGTTTAGGGGTTTCCGGGTTTTGGAGCTTCGGTTTTGAGGGGGTCAGGATGCCCCTGGCTCTTGCTTCTTCGCCCACTTCTCCGTCCCTAGGTTGAGGCTGCCGAGGTGTGGCCTCAAATTCACATGGGTGTGGGCTTTAGGGTGTGTAGGCTGTGGTTTAGGGTTGGAGACGGCTTTGCTGCGTGTTAAGTGAAGGCTCTCCGAATACCCTTGAAGGCGCGGATGCCTTGCCGGATTTTCGGTACACTACCTACACTACACTACATTAGACTGGGCCATACTGCACTATGCTATACTCACCTATACTGCAAACATTGTTTGAAGCTTCGTCTCCAAAGCGAGAAATCGATCTTTCTCAATGCGCTTACTACCATAATTAAAAGATGGCTTAGGGTTTAGGGTCGTAGCCCTAAACCCTAAACCCAAATACCGCTTTGCAGCAGATTTTGCGATCAATTCCGGGCTTTGACCCAGGCAGCATTTAGTAGCAACATGCCGTGAAAGACATGGACATGTTGTTTCGGCCCCGTTTCCAGATTTTGGCTGAAGGTTTCAAGCCTTCAGGCTTAGTGATCTCAAGTTTCACAAAATGCCGGCACCGCGGACTACACTGCACAGCGAAGGCCAAGCAAAGCATCGCGATCAGTCCTCCGAAGACAGTGCCATACCTCAAACACCACGGAAAAAATCCCCTACATGCTTGTCGGATCAAGGACCAAAACTCACATACCAATGTGAAGCAGCGCCCTAAACCCTAAACCTAAACCCTCAACCCTGATGCCTCTTCTCCGGGCTCGGACAGAGGGAAGCTTCGGGCACCGGATGTTGTTCAACCAATGAGTGCGACGCGTTCTCCGATCGCAGGCCGGGTGGAGACCCACTAGAACAGGCTGGATGGGTCTGTGGTGTCCCCGGTCTGCTTCGGAAATCTTTGCAGCAATCGGCACTTGTGTCCGCATCTTATGACACGTTTGTCGAGGTCATTCGGTCAGTGCTCCACACAGCACCAGGCTTGCAACTGTTTTCAGAAACTGCCTTTCAAACGGAGCGCTCTCCAACACGCATTGCCAGTCAGGTGCAGCAGTACGAGGCTCAGTGAGTCTTTACCAACGGAACTCTCATTGACAGTGACATCGTCGGCGACGGTCCGGCTAATGTGGCGCTATGCCGCACATAAATCAGAAAACACACACTAAAGCCTGAAATCCCGAAAAAGAAGCGAGCAGCTAGCAAGGCATGTGGACATGGCTCCAGGCATGTAGCATGCACTCCAGACTGGGTGGCCAGCACCCAGCTTCTCTTTATAAAAGTGGACATGATGCCCTAAATCCCGAACATGCTTCTAGAACTGATATGCAACTCAACCCTAAACCCTGAGCCCAGTAAAACCTATCCTGAAATCGTGAGTCGGGCAATCGGGCAACTCTGACTTCAAAGGGGCCCTGCCACGTTGGCGCGAGCCCGAACTGACAGGCCAGATTCCGTTCAAAGCTGTGCGGGCTTCGGCCCAGAAGCTGTAGGAGATATAGACTTCATAGCGACTTTGATGTGAGTTTAGGGCTTAGGGTTTAGGTTTAAGTTACGGGCTTTCTGACTTTAAAGGTGTTATTCTTGGAGGCTGCCGGGTTGAAGCTGTGAGCTTCGGAGCTTTATGGCGGTAAGTTTGATCCTTTTGAGGGTTTAGCATTTAGGGTTTAGGGAGCCTTCACCCCTGTCCATGCTCATGAAACTTCCTTGAGCACCTACACTTACGGGCGCGGACGAGCTCTTAGGGAACAACACCTGACGGATGTCGTAAACTCTGCGTTTCTTATTGGCTGGTTGTGTAGTTTTTGGGTTTAGGGCTTAGGGACCTAAACCCTAAACCCCGAAACCCTGAACCCTAAATGTAATCAGCCCTGAACCCAAAACCAAAAAGAAATGTCCCGCGGTACCGTGGCGCTGGCCCAGGAATGCCCTACACTTACCGTCGATTCCTCAGGGTTTAGGGCTTAGGGGGACTATGG